CTGTCCGACCTTGAAGAGATTCATAAATAGATGAAGCCTTGACGTAATACCTAGCTCGTTGCAATGAAGAAGAAACCCTACCATCAATGTATAAGTATTGGACGTCAGTTGGGACGGTAGAAGACCCGTCTCCCTTAAGTATTCCACCATGAATGGATGCAAAGGAAACCACAGCCCCCCCCAGAAAAACTCATGGGGTACACTCCAAAGTACAACAGAGGTGGGGACAACACGTTGTCCATCGACTTTGGCTCCCTAAACCTCCCGTAGGGGCCGACGTACAAATGCGCCACATGCAGATCACCTGGCGTAATCTCCGGCAGAATGATAAGGAGATTCCGACAGTCCAGACTTGACAAACCCAATCCATTCCTCTATGCCAACTTATGCCACCCCCTTTCTTGTTTCTTCTGGGGTTCGACCATGTCAGCCCCATGGAATGCGGAATGTGAGTCAAGGTAGATGCTCCCCCCAACTCTCTGAGAATGAATTATAGTCGTCTCAGTCTCAGATCCCTCAAGACCGTCTTCAGCACAATCTTCCCCACCAAACTCCTCCACTGACTTCAGGGTGACCTTCGGCTTCTCCACCACGTCTTTTTCTCCTTCAAAGTTGAAGTATCCCCCGACTTCGGACTCAAATGCCACAACTACAGACCCCAATATATCTTGGGAATCAGGAGAAGACATAACATTTAGGATTTCGAAGACTTAAGGATCTAATGCGGAACTCTCACCAACACTAGATTTCCTAATCTAGTAGCAAAGTATACAAAAAGGATCAAGAACAAATGAAGAACTGACCTAATTCGGAAGCACTTCGTCATAATCCAAATCAAAAGTGATAGTGAGTGCGTCGGAGGCAGGGTATCTACATATACCCCCCCAACTAACACTACCCATGTCATGCACCTAGTGGTTACATAGGCGGTCGCCAAAATCCCAGCCACTCCGCATCTGACATCTGTCCCACCACCACATCAAGGTACACGAAGGCCTACGAATCGACACATCTGTTATTATATCCAGACAAATGCTGCCCAAAGAGGTGCTCCACCATAATGGCACGTCTTACCTCAGAACAAAGGCTCAACAATGTATGATGATCCTCGGTCACATCGCAGGATGATAAATCAACATGCCACCTACAGCCTCATCTCGGCTTTAAAAGATCTTCCCTCAACCTCATTCAAAAGAAGAAGAAGAAAGTTTTGAAGGGAGAAACGCACCTCAGACAAGCCCCATTGGTGATAGGCATCGGCCAACAACCTTCGTCTAAGGATTCTCCCACAGGATTGATTTAGTAAGGATTTGCGAGAAAGGTTTGGCCCATGGGAGCACTTGCAGGGTGCACCTTGGTTGCAAACACTTTATCTACCCTTCTACCCGAATTTCTCTTGACTTGATGGAGTGGGGGACTGGGGGGATCTGCCTCGGCAAAGCAACAAATTCAATGTCACATTCTACATAAGGCAAGATACCTCGGCTACAGGCACCCACACCTCGGCCAAAATAGAAAAAACTAAAGGAGCTTAAGCACACCGGCTAGGAGAATCCACGCCTCCCCGGGAAAACACAAATATGTGATCCCCAAGAATGTGATACAAGATGTTGTACTCCCTCTCACCTCGACATCTCTCGCCGGAGGGGGGGGGGGGGGTCCTGATAAAGTATATGGGCCTGGACCCACGACCCATATACTCATGGACACAGACAAGGTTACACGCAACTAGAGTACCCCTCGGCCGGCTCCCATTGACTAGTCGAGGACCATCCACAAGAAGATTCCCAGAAATGAAGAACTCCAGGAAAAGATCCAACAACTTCACTCAAAGAGTTACCCCGGCCTGGCCACCTCGGTCTAACCACCTCAGCCCAGGCCTGTAGCAGTTAGTTTTTGCAAAAAAAAAAATCTCTCTCTAACTCTCACTTCTCTCTAGAGTATTACTGTATCAAGGTGAAATTATTAAAATAAAATTTTCCACACATAAAGGGATTAGGACAAGAACAATACTAAAAAGTAAGTAAGTAACCTATGGAAAAAATAGAGACCTTTTGTTTAAAATTCCAAATAGAGATTAAAAAGAAGTAAAAGGATCATTAAACCCCTTCCCACGTGACCCAACGCTACAATGACTAACATCATGGTAACCAACATCTGCCCCGTCCAATGACCAACGTCCGCCCATCAAGTGACCAAAGACCGCCCGTCTAATGACCAACATTTGCCAGTCAAATGACCAACGTCTTCCCTTCCAGTGACCAACGTCTGCTCTTCAAGTGACCAACGCCCGCCCGCCCAATAGTGAATACCATCAACAATGACTTCAATGACCGCCACAGCCCCAACGGTGACCGCCATCACCCTGGCTGCCGACGACTGGTAACCATCACAACCCGCTCTTCCATAATGCGCACAACCCTGCCCCATCCCCATCAGCCCATCTGTGCCCCACCCCACCCCATCCTCAACCTCCTAAGTCCCCTTCCAGATATGCGTTGTGCAACGCCCACACCATGCGACCCACTGTGACCCCGTCGACTCCGCCACCTCGTTGTCACGGTCATTGCCAATGACACAACTGAATGCCCCTGCCCCATGCCCTAACCCCCACCCCCTCAACTTCTTGCCAACCCCTATTTCTCCAACTTCGAACCTCGTCGACCCCAATTTGAAAACCCTAGACGTCAGGATCTTTGCCACGGATCTGCAAACATCGCAGACAGGAAATTGAAGAAGCAGAAGAAGCGTAACATGGCAGCGACGTGTATGAAGGAGGAGATAACAGAGTCGAAGACGAGGAAGAAATCCTATGTTTGCTGATGTGAAGGAATGGAAAGTCACGTCAGTGTTGGTACAATGGGTGAATGAGAAACAAAGCAGAAGTGAAGGTACAATGGCCAGAGCTGTGACGAGCAATGGTGTGTCACCGCTGGTACGAGGGCTGGTCAAAGAAGAAACGAAGGATGAGGCCATGAGGGAGCAGGGGTGAAGGAGGGTTGCGAGTGATGGTTTGTTGTGCGATTGGCGAAGAAGTGACGAACGAGAATGGGATAAGAATAGGGGTATTTAGGTCCATTCATTAATAATTGGCTTTTTTGTCCAATTATAAAGTTGGTCCTATTTTTGTCCAAGAGAAAGCTGAGAGCAGGGCTGGTCCTAGGGAGGGCAGTAGGGGCGACCTCCCTGGGCCTGAAAATATAGAGGAAAAAATTAGGCCAACCTTTTTTCTTTATATAATATAGTTAGCAAACTTCTTTTTTTGTTTTTAAATTCAATTAATTAGGCTTAATTTTTAATGTATGTTGATAATTTGAAAATGTTAAAACATAAGCAAAAAGTCTTGATCGGAGCCGATCAAACAAGTTTAAAAAAGAATATACATTTAATTTTAATTTTTAAGTAGAGTTGATTGTATGTCAACACATTTGTTGTTGAATCAATAAAGACACATTTCTTCACATCTTTTTAGCCTTTAAGCCTTTTATTCATTTTAATTACAAAATTATCGAATTATACTATTATTTGAGCAGCCCGTGCCTCCCGATTCCCAAACCGCATCCCAAATATCCGCGATCGACTATGTCTCAAAAAAGCTCAATGGTAGCGATATTAAGCATTGCAAATGGAATCTCGAAAAAGATTGATTATGAAACAATTATTAGTGATTGTGCTTCACAATGTTCTGCTATAAATGTTTTTAAATAATGTTTTTTTGTGATACTTGTGCTGTTACTTTTGCCCAATTACATAGAAGCCGTTTGACAACACTGTTTTTCGCCTTATCAGGCTTATCAACCAACTTTTTCACCAAGCACACAACTTTTGTTTTTGCGCGCTGAATTGTGTAATAAGGAGAAAAAATAAAGTTGAAATTACTTTTCTGGCTGTATTGGCTGAAGTTACTGTAGATGACCATTTTAGCTATTTTTACATTTAATTTTTTTTGATTTCATTAATAAAATATATTTTAAAAATAATTTTTTCTTAAATCAGCCAATGCAGCCACTTCAGACAGAATTTCATAAATTTTGACAGAATCAGCCAAATCAGCCGATTTTCGTGCTACCAAACGGGCTCATAATATAATTATTATTTCGTAATAAAGTGAATTTCGTCTTTATTTTGTAGCCTTTGGGGGTGTTCGGAACTGATTCTGCTTCTGCTTCTTTTTTAAAGTAAAAACAGAATCTGAATCAGTTTTCAGAAGCTGGTCTTCCTCGGCTTTTAAAAAAACTGATTCTAGGAGTAAATTAGAGCACCAGAATCACTTCTTCACTTTCACCTAAACACTCCAACTTCTGCTTATGCTCCCTGAAGGAGCAGAAGCAGTTTTAAGAATCGGATCCAAACACCCTCCCTTTATGAGAAAGTTTTATTATAATTCTTATTTTAAGAAAGTATAATTTACTATAAAGATGGCATATTATCTTGTATTTTTTGTTTGCTACACTTTCCTTTTTTGGATGTATTCAAAATTTTGCTACACTTTCTTTTTTGGTAAGTTTTTCCTTTAAAATACTCAACTACTCTTACTTTTTTTACTTTTTATATTTTCTTTCATATTTTTCTATCATCTCTCCTACTTTATCTACATTATTCATTACCCCAACTATTTCACTCTTGAAAAATGTGCCAACACTTATTGTAGCAAACAAAAAAAATAGGGAGGGACTATTATTTTTGTCATTTCAATAATAAATGTAAGGATTTACCAAAAGATACAACTAGATATGGGAATTTGTGCGATTGTTGCATACGTGTATAGTACACACATGATAGTAGAAGACAGTGTTACAAAGTCCAAAGTTGTAGCAGGAGTGGGAAGTTGAAGTTCCTTTTAAAAATACTCCGTAAATTTGGAGGATAAAAACAAAATAAAAGAGAGGAAAAAGGGGGAAAAGAAGAAACAAATTTGCTCTTTGTACCCACCCAATGTACCCACCCTATACACACTACAAATACCCACAAAAAAAATTACCCCTCTTTTCCCCTCACCTCACCCGCCAGTGACTCGCTCCCCCCCTTTCTTGAAAATCAAAACACCCGCCGTCCTTCTCACCCAAATCGAAACTCCTCTCCCCCATACTTCTCTCCCACATCCGCACGAGCAGTCTGGTTTAGAGGTGATAACCGACATCCCTGCGACCACTCTCCTCTTCGAAGCCGTTCTTCATCTGTGTCGATTCGAAGCGGGGCTTCTCGAAGTGTGGGCGATTTGAGGGTTAAGAAGCGACGAGCCCTTTCTTCAACTTTAAGACGGCGACGCACACCAGTGGAGATGGCGGACGGGTATGTATCATTTCCCAATCTTTGTTTATTTTTAGGGTAATTTTTTTTAAAATTTTTGGATTTGTTGGGTTTTTGGCAAAGTTTGAACATGGGGCTGTGTGTATGTGAAGTATCTGAATAAGGTGAATTTGTGAAATATGTGAAGTATTGTGTGTGAATCACCATTTATTTGTGGTATACTTCTGGTTCGAACATTTTAAGACTGAATATGTGAAGTATTGTGTGTGAATCAACATTTATATATGAATTGGTATGCTTCCTTTGTTGTTGTTCATAAGGTGTGTGTGTGGTGGTGAAATCTTCATTGGGTGTTAATTGTTGTCTGTGCATGACATTGTGTCTATGAAATAGTGTAATTACTTTGTTCATATTTTTAAGTTGTCTGTGTGGTGGTGCAAAGTTGATTTGGTGTTAATTAGTGTCTGTGCATGATATAGGTGTCTATGTGGTGTTGTGAAGTTCATTTGAAGTGTTATTTATTGTCTGTGAATCAAATTGTGTCTGTATTATATAGTCTAGTTCCTGTGTAAACGTTTAGAAGTTGTCTGTGTGTTTTATTGTGTATGAATCAAATTAGGAGTGTTATTTATTGTGTTGGGGTAATCTTTTGGTCTATGAAGGTCTGTTTTTGTCTGTCTGGCATAAGTTTATTTTTGTTTGTCCAACTGCCAGGGCCCTGAAGCTACGCATTCCAAGTCATGATTATTTCCCCGCGCAGTATTCCGTCTGTTCAGCCTTCAGAATTGCAGCGAAGTGGGTAAAAGACAGATTATCTCCAACACAAAAGGATAGGTTTCGCGAATTACCTTGGGGCCATCTCATTGACATCCCACAAACAGACAACTCTGGCCAAATCTTGCACATGCTGGCCTTACACCTAGTGCAGGACCAACCGGATAATGAGCTGTGGTTTGGCATTGGGGGTACACTGTATAAGTTCACTTATGCAGATTTTAGCTACATAAGTGGATTACCAATACATGACGAACCAGAAGCTGCTGAAGCAGACCCTGCCGCACCTGAGGATGAAGATTGTGGAGATGATTCTGGACAGGAATCTGGCCAAGAAGATGAACCAGTAGGGGCCCTTGCCGAGAAGTATTTCGGTGGCAAAGATAACATAACCCACGCCAATATGAAGAATATCTTTACAAAATTGAAGCCATCCAAACGCGGTGATGATGCTGTGAAGTTGGCCTCGTTGTTCTATATTGAGTGCGTTTTGCTTGCTAAGGACAACACTACGAGGATCAATGCATCATCAGTCAGATTGGCCAACGATTTAGAGGCATTCCGGAAGTGTCCGTGGTCACTTCAATCTTACAAAATATTGGTGAAACACATGAAGGATCTGATGCAAGACCAACCTGATAAGTTCCAGGAGCGGAAGAAGAAGAATCCTAAGTATAAGAATGCAAAGTTATCTGTTTACGGGTTTCCACTAGTTTTGCAGGTATATATGTCAACTTCCCAATTGTACTTACTGTTTACGTATATATCACTATTTCAAACTGTTTGAATTGGAACTACTTTAATTCACTATCATTTAAAGTGATTATAATTTTCCTATTCGCTTTTGAAAACTATGTTTATAATTTTGTAGTAATAATATCATATGGATCTTAATTTCTAGTATCTTATTTGAAAACTGTTTATATAATTTTCCTATACCCTTTTCATATAAACTTAACTAATTTATATACAGTTTTCATATACCTTTTAACACTAATTTTCCTATACGTGTTTATAATTTTCTTACAGTTTTCATAGACCGTTTTACATTAATTTTATACACGTTTTCATTTGTGTGAAGCACAAATGTATTTCCTGTTTATTCTTATTTGTATAGGTGTGGGCGTACGAAGAAATTCCTGAAGTTGGTATGCACTTTGCAAACAAAGTGGGTAATCATGACGTGCCTTTGCTTAATTGGACGGCTGTACCGAAATTTCATTACTCCAAGCTTAGAAGATTGGTCTTTCCAGAGGTATGTTGCATTGATTAAGTTAATTTAAAATACCCTAAATTTTACTAATTTTTATTAAGCCTAGGAGGAGGAAAAGGTTTCTGATTCAGAGGAGGGAGAGGAAGAAGATGAAACAAACGAGGAAGACGTTCAAGTTTTTGGAAAACTGAAAATATTGGAGGAGATGCAGAACCTGCGGGTATGTGTTGAAAAGGTGGAAAAGAAGATTACTATCGTTGAAGATACTATTTCAGAAATTAAGGTACTACTTCAGAAGCTGATTGGTAATCAGAACCCATCTGTTCAAGAAGAGGTATGATGTAACTTACTTTGTGTGTGTCATTTGCGGGCCCTTTTCATTAACTATGCGACTAACACTGTCAACTACATCTATTGTAGGTTGATAAGGTTGATAATGATGACGTGGTTGTTCAGGACGAGGCTGCGGTTGAGGCCGAGGGTGAGAATATAGTACAAACTAGTGACGGTGAAGATGCCGAGGTTGTCCATGCTGATGCCGGACAAAGTGAAGGTCAGGGTGCCGCTGCAGATGTTCCTTTGAAGAGCACGAGTGTACATGAAGAAGGTGCCGCTGCAGATGGTCATGGGGTGGCAGACAGGCAGTTATCTCCGACTGCAGATTTTACCGCCCATGAAGATGGTGTTGTTAAGGAAGTTGGGGACGTTAGCAACCCCTTAAACAATGAAGGTGGCACACGGGCAGATTTGATCATCTCAACTGTGGTGACTGAGGTATGGTTGTTGATGTGTCATTGTTGTTTTTGTGCACCATGAAAACTGATCTAGTTATTTACTTGATAGGTGGATTGGGAAAATGAACACAATAAGCATGACAGCAACTTCCCGGATATTATGATGTGTTTAAACGAGGTAAACACGTATTGGTGTTTATAATGGAACTTCCAAGATATATGTGTAATAAAGAAATGTTGGTGCAATGCATTTTATGTTATGGTTTGTATAGTAAGATTGTTCAAAATGCATTTTAATTCCATGGTGTGTAACAGGACTCTCAGCAGGTGGAGGATGAGCAGTTACCTTCGGTAACCGCGCCCGGTCCATTTGAGAATTTGGATTGGGATGGAGGCGATGTTGGTAGTACACCACTTGATGTTGAGCCACTTGCAGATGTCAGCACGAAACATCGACATAAGAGGAAACGGTGTCGTGCAAATTACAAATGCTCACCATACCTTGACCCGATTATCCCAATTGAACCTCCTATGTTTCACCCAAGCGACGATGATATTGCATCTCTGAAGGCGTGGATTGAAGAACCTGACCATGTAGAACCGAAAATGGTTGTTCTGAATCTACCATCATTTGATGAAGTGGATAGGGAGTTTTTCCGTGAGCTTGTTCAACCAGATGAGACGCTATGGTCCTATGTGAGTGCCTAAAGTTTTTCAATTTTTACATGATTCAATAAATGTCTCACGCTGTTTTTTCTTAGCATATGGATGCTCTATCGTACCTGCTTGTAAAAGATTGTAAGACGGAGAAGCCGTATAAGCTAATAAACCCTTACTTTACGGTATGTCTTTATCACTGTATCTTTACCAAACTTACATAAGTATTTCCAATTTTTGGGCTTCATTATAAATTTTCTTCGTGCAGCATCAACTGTTGAGTAAGGATGCTAAGGATGAGAACGTCTGGACTCGCGATAAGTATCTACCAGCTGTGGACTGGAGAGGTTTGGAGAAGGTAACTGCTTAAACTCTTTTATGTAATTGTTTGTGTATTTTGGTTTGGACTCTTTTAATTGGGTTAACGTTTTCGTACCTCTGAATGTTGTTGGTTAAAAAGTGCTCAAGTATTTTGTTGTTGTTGTGTTAAGGTTTTTGTACCTTTGAATGTTGGTGGGATGCATTGGATTTTAGCGGAAATTGACCTACATGCAAAATTGGTGCGTGTATATGACTCTATGAGAACGAGTAGGTCAAGGTTGCATGCAGCCGATCTGTGTGTCAGACTTCCGCTCCTCTTCCGAGTCATACAAGCCCACCCACATCTGAGTAAGGTAGAGGTTTGGAAAGCCTCGGCAGTTGCAGATGTTCCGCAACAGGAGGGAGGGTAATTGTAATCTGTTAATCTTGTATTTGTTTATGTGCAGTGTACAATTATGTCTGTGAGCACAGAATAATTGTTTGTTATGTCTGTGTTGTAGGAGTATTTGCGGACTCATGGTTGTTGCTTATGCGGAAGCATTGATGTTGGGGCTACCGATGAGGCCATATTGCGAGTATGCGAACGTGGCCAGCAAGAGATGGCATTTCGCACTACGGCTTTGGACTTTGAGGCAGACTGTTTCGTAGACATATGTAGATGTCTATTTTTTTGCTAATGTGTATACATAACTGTCATGGTTCCCATGTAAGAAACATTATTTTGCTGGTTTTGTGTTTTTGTAACCTTCTGGAATATAATGTATGATCATGTACATTGTTTTGGCGGTTGTGCTGTAATGAACGTTGTACAATGTCCTACAAGGTTATTCCCCAAGAGGGTTCATATGAAACATGTAACCAAATTTCTAAGTTGGTTTTTGTGTTATTTTTAACACTTTGAAATGTTATGTATCATAATGTTCTTTGTTTGTAATAACATGTGTCTGTGACTATAGAATATATTGTCTGCTAGTGGAAATTTGTTTGTCTGTGAGTATATTAAGTATTAACAAGCAAAATTTATAAAGTTGTTGAAGTAAAGCTTATAGTTCATAAAAAATAATGTTCATATCACTTTTTTTTCATCCAAGAATAATTTTGTATACTTTAAAAATATCTTAAATACTGGATATAATCTCAACTACATGGTATAATAATGATAATTTTAACTATAAAATATCTTAAACACTGGATATAATCTCAACTATCACATGAATATGATCTACCCCTCCAAATAATTGTGTCTATGAATAAATATACTTGTTTGTGGCAGAACACCGATCTGACTGTGAGGGCATAATAATGTCTGTGACTATAAACAGTTTCATTGATGATACAACAAAAAAACAGTACATCATAGTACATGTATTCACATCAAAGATAGATTTAAATCTAAACCAGTAGAATACATGATTGGTCCATTAGCTGCACCATGACTAGGCCCTTCACCATTACCATGTTGAGTTGTTGTGGTTGTGGGTCGTGCATTATCCTTCTTCGGCCTTCCTTTCTTACCCTTTTCTAGTGGACCCTTTGCTCTGTTTTTCCTTGGAGCTCCCTTGCGCTTCGTACATTTTGGATCTCGTATAGGTGGAAGTGGGACCTCGGCATTCATATTTGTTTTTGGGTCTTCAAGTGGCGTCATGTTGCCAACAATACAAGAATGGCTAACTGGAGGAGTATATGTGGTCAACTGGGTTTCCAACCAAAGGAGGACTTCATTGTATTTTGCCTCATCATCCACAATCATGTTGGCAACAGACTCAAATGTTTTGCATAACTTGTCAAAGCGTTGTTGTTCAACCGTTGTAATCCATCCGTCGTAATTGATTTTGACTCGTTGGTACGCTCTTTTCATGTCTTTCCTCCATCTACTCATTAGGTACACCTCGGGCAAGTGGTGTATATCAAGCCGATTAAATACCACAAGCAAGTGTCTACATATCATTCCCCTAAACTCAAACAAATGACAACTACATATTCCAAAACAAGTAAGTGGGTCAAAGTCAATATAGAAGTTCACATTCTTCTTAAATCCATTAATATCCATATGCTCTTGCACTGTGTATTTTCTACCGTCTTCACATAAAAGGATATCACAATAAAGCTTTCCTTCAAGTAATTCCCTTTGAAACTCCGCAAACTTAGAAAGGGTATAAATTTGTTGCACTTGTTTTTCCATTGGACATCTAGTCACACATGGAATCATTTTGGTAAATGAGTTAGTATCCGCTTGAAATTCTTTTTCCACCTTATCACGCAAAGCACATCCGTATTGTTCAACAAATTGTTTTAGAGTGGTTTTGGAATTGACAAACTTATCGAAAAAAGCGTTGATGCTCTCACTTCTTTGAGTTGTGGACATGCCGGCCCAAAATGTTGGCTTTAAATAACATGGTACCCACCGGTTTCTTTCATTGTACATCACCCCAAGCCAATCATGCTCTTCTAGTGAAAACCTAATCACAATTTAAGTGCACAAACAAGTAATCAGTTTCTAAATAAATGACAAAGAAGTAATTCTCTGCCCACAAACACATTGTGTCCATGAAGTACAAACTATATTGTCTGTGACAGACAGGCCTGTCTATGAGGCAGAGAAATAGTTACTGCCAGAACAAAACATAAAGCTTACAAATTCATACCTTTGAACCATATCAAGCCATTTTTCCTCAAACTCTTGGGTGTACTGTGAATCATAAATGCAGTCATGTATAACATCCAATATTTCATCTTTTTGTGCATTCCCTCCGAGTTTTTCGGGTACCTTTTTCATTATGTGCCATAAACACCATCGGTGTTTCGAATTTGGGAAGGCAATTGCAATGGCGTTTTGCATGGCACGGTCTTGGTCGGTAATAATCCCCATTGGAGCGATTCCATCCATGCATTCAAGCCATGCTTTAAACAACCACACAAAGGTTTGTGTATCTTCATTAGAGACTAAGCCACATCCCATTAGCAATGATTGCCCGTGATGGTTTACCCCGACAAATGGTGCAAAAGGCATGTCATACCTATTCGTAAGATAGGTCGTGTCAAATGTTATGACATCTCCAAATTCTTTGTACGCATATCTAGACCTATTGTCGGCCCAAAATACATTACGCAATCTTGACTCCTCATCTAAGTCAAGTGCAAAGAAAAATCCAGGACATTGGTCTTGCATTTTAGCAAAGAACCCTTGAATGGCAATTGCATCGCCACTACCTAACCTAAGTTGTCTCACTTTATCTATATAGTTCCTACAATCTTTTTCAATGAAGGGAAGTTGATCATATCCACCGGCTTCAACAACGGCCGCGGTGAAGCTTTTATTAAGTCGTATTCCCGCAACTTCATTTATTGCAAGTTTCCTCGCCATTCCATGAGTCAACTTCCTATGGCATCGGAATAGTCTAGCCTTTGTTGGACTCATAGGATGTGAATGTTGTACAAACAATTTTGATATTTCCCAAAGTCCCTCAGAATTTACGTGTGCTCGTAGTCTAGCCCCACACCCTATTTGCATTGAAGGTTGGGGCTTCAATTGATTTTTTGACTGACTACCTCTTTGACCAGCCCGCGAACACTCTAGTACAATTGACACAATCTTTACTCCTTTTTTGTCTTTTGTTGTGCTCCTAGTTCTTATAGGAAAACCCAAACGCTTCCCATATGCTTTGTAGAAATCATAGACCGCTTCTCTGCTTTCAAACTCCATACCAAGCTCTGGGTCTTTACCAACTTCAATCTCCATTGCCACCCCTTCTCCATCTGTTATGTAACATAATTCATTTATTCATGCGTTGAAACCAACCTACTATCACACACAGACAGTGATAGGTGCACACACAGACAATTCACAAGTTTCACAAACACGTTGAATACCACACAAACAAACAAGTGTAAGGCGTTCTACATACACAAACAAAAACAAATATTAAGAACTTACAGCTGCATAAAGTTATATGTTTGAAGAAACGTATGCATGAGTTCAAACAAACTTAGGGGTACACATAGACAGTATAAAATACACACACAGACAACTCAAAACTTCACCAGACACCCACAACACTACACAAACAATCTTGTCCACCACTATTTATTCATGCACTCAAACCAACTTACTGTCACACACAGACAATTCATAATTTTCACAGACATGTTGAATACCACACAAACAAACAAGTCTACAACGTTCTACATACACAAACAAAAACAAATATTAAGAAGTTAGAGCTGCATAAAGTTACATGTTTGAAGAAACGTATGCATGAGTTCAATCAAACTTAGGGGTACACAAAAACAGTCATATATGCACACACAGACAATTCAAAAACTTCAACAGACACCCACAACACTACACAAACAAACTTGTCCACCACTGTTTACATACACAAACAATAGAACAAATAAACAAGTCCCACCTCTAACACCATGTCTGTGAGAAGAAATGTATTTTAACGTTCAATGAACTGCTAAAACCATGAGAGAAGAAGATGAAGTCATACCGAGGTCAGAAACGACGTCCATGGCCGCCGCCGACGTTAGTCCATCTTCTCCGCCTACGTCCGTCGTAACGTCACCTTCTCCACCTCCGGTGTGTCCATCACCTTCTCCAAGTCCAGCCTTCTGTCCGGAGCCTTCTCCGCCTACGTCCGTCATTCCGTCACCTTCTCCATCACCGGCCATCTGTCCTTCTTTTTCTCCAAGTCCGGCAGATTTTTCCCTTTCATCACCTCCGGTTTCTTCAGCTCCGTCAATCCACATAGACCAAAATTCGTCGTCGTTTGTCACCATGGTTTTGTCCAAGAGAAAATCCATGGAAGAGGAAGGAAACTCCAGTTTTTTTGTCGTTGATGGTGGCTTAGGCGTTGAAGAAGAAGACACTGTGTGCGGGAGTTTTGATTTTCAAGAAAGGGGGGAGTGAGCGAGAAATGTGGGTCGGTGGGGTGAGGTACGCGGGTGAGGTGAGGGGAAAAGAGGGGGTAATTTTTTTGGGGTATTTGTAGTGTGTATAGGGTGGGTACATTGGGTGGGTACAAAGAGCAAATTTGAAGAAGAAAAAGGAGGGGGATAGAGAAGCGCATATTCTCTAGATTGTCTTTCACCACGTCCGTCTTCCTAGCTCTCCGTTTCTCTCTCATCTCCCTCTGACCAGAGTTTAAACTCAAGTGTATTGATCTGCTGTTTTCCACTCCTTCCATTCATTTAGTGGATTTTGTCTGCATTTCGCTCATTTTACGGTAGTGTTTTTTGCCTCCTCTTTTTCTCTGATTGTGCGTGTGTGAACATTCATCTCTGCAAGTGTTGCTGTCAATGGAGTTGAGTTGGCCATGAAATATTAAAGAATTTCAAGGTTTCAGATTTCTCTCTATGTCTTTTGGATGCTTTCGTTTTAAACTTTGGGAACTGTTTTCCTGTTGATCAAATTACATGGAGTCCAGTCGGTGTTAATTTCTCACCTTTTTCTTCTAATGCTTAGAGGTTTTGAGTACTTTTCCTCAACAAAAGAAGAGATTTTTCCTTGTTGGAACGGAAACTTTTTGTTTAAAATTAATGGTTTTTATGATTTCTCAGGAAACGGTTTTTATTTCTTGGTTTGTAGTCTTGTGTGTTTTGGAGTTTTTTTACTCATTGCAGTGCTTTATTACTCCAGTGGGTCCAATGTTTTCAATTAAAAAACAATTTTAGATGCAATGAACGAATGATTCACGGTGATTGCACAGTGACTACAAACAATCATTGATGGTGGTCTTGTTTAATTGAAGATGCGAGTGCTGGTCCATTGCCCACTGGAATTCTCTTATCCAAAATTCTACTAGGTGGTTCGTTTGGTTGTGTTTACAGAAAAGGAGTTCACACGAGCTCTAGCCTGTGAATCTTCTCCATTAAGAAACACAAGCGCTTCTGCTTATGTTTTTTAAGATCTAAATGTCGTGTTTAGTTCTGTAGGAGTGTAGGGGTTACCTATTTTACCTATTTTAAATATCACTAACCTATTTTAAGTTTTTTCCCATCCTCACCATTTCCCAAGTTCCAAAAATAGTCTCAGTGTTTATTTTTCTCTCCATCTATGTGCACATGAATAAGTTTTGTTCTTAGGTTAACCCACATCGTATATAATACATACCATCCTGGTATATTTTCTCAGAATAAGTAGGGGAAGGTAACCTAATTCCAGATAATGTAAAATTCTATTTAGGTCAAACACGGACCCAATATAGCATGTTTTGTTATCTAGTCTATTGTTTTAGTTAAAGGATATCCTTCAGCTTTATTTTGACTAAAGAGTGAATGTAATATATGAAATCTGTGTTTGATCATGTAATTCCCATGAGTGAAAGTGTGTACTGATTCAGAGAGTTCAACCCACATTATGTCATAGGGCTTCTGGAGATTCCAATGACAAATTTATCGAAAGGAAACACTGGATGGAGGCTCTTTCCTGGATCTGACTGTGTTGATGCTTCAACTGATGTTTCACTCTATTCGAGCTCTCTTCCTCTTCTCTTCCATGAGAAGAAGTGTAAGTCATCCACATCTCATGCAAAAACTTCACAGTTTTTTTTTTTGTTTTTTTTGGCACCGGAAAATATTCTCATGCATAGTTTCTTCAAACTTTTGTGGAAATGACTCCCCATTCTTAAACACATTAAGTCATTTTCGTTAACATATTGCTATGTTTTTTACTCCCTCCGTCCCAAAAAGAGTGTCATGTATGGTCAAGGTACCACTGGCAAGGTAGATCTCTCACAAGTAATGGAATCCTATAAATTTTTATCAATTTATTTGTTGGTGTTAAGACTTGGGGTTTCATCCTAAAAGGTCAACCTGATAGGAGAAGTAACTCAGATCTTAATATAGCACTTTATTACTCCCTCCGTCCCGCTATGATTGTCCCATTTTACCATTTCGGTCCGTCCCATACCTTATTTGGTAAAGTTTGTGTGGTTCTAAATCATTCCTACTTATTCTTACTTTATCAATTCAATATCAACCACATCAACCCACTTTTATTAATAACCGTGTCACCTTCTCTTGTCCCAAACTTAGGGGGACGGAGGTAGTATTTCACAATTTTCTGGTGTTGGAATTCAACACCTATCCTCACGACCAAACACTTCGTTTGGATCGTGTTGTCATTCATTTTTTCATCTGTTCGTTATTGTCATTTTTACAATCATCTTCATTTTTCATAGGGACCCGCACCATAGTTATGGACCAATTTGTCTCTGATACTATGTTAAGACTTGGGGTTTCATCCTAAAAGGTCAACCTAATATGGGGAGTAGCTCAGATCTTAATATAGCACTTTATTATTTCACAATTCTCCCGTGTGGAATTTCCACAATTGGTTCAGCTAAGTAATACAAACTTGTTTGTAATTATTAGTGGAAAACTTCATAGGATTCATTTTTTGGGAAAAAAATCCTTTGAAAGAGGATTCTATTTTGTGTGTGTGTGTCCAGGGAGTATTGTATTTTTGCGGATTGAACATGATAGTATACCTAGAACATTTTTCTGTGTAAATCATTTTCCTCGTAAAATATTTTCGACTTCAAGTTATTTCCATGCAACCAAACGGATTCCAAGCCCCTGAGTGATATTCTTATTACAATCTATTTATTTATGGGATTTAGTTCATTTGATGCAGTGAATGTGAGTGAAGTGAAACAAGGTCTCAAATCCATCGATGACACATCACTCTTGAAAAAGATTCACCCAGAAGTAGAGGTTGATGATTTGCTTGAAGATGATATTCACACATCAATCAAATGCTTACTTCCAGATGATGAGGATGAACTCCTATCTGGCATAGTGGACAGCTATGACTTGATTGGGCTTCCTAATCGTACTAGTGATGACTTGGAAGACTATGATCTCTTTGGTAGTGGAGGAGGGTTGGAACTGGAATCTGATCCTCAGGAAAACCTAACTATTGGTGTATCAAAACTAAGTCTTCTCTCTGATATAGCTGGAGTGCCTCCTAATGGGGTTGGGACCATCAGTGGAGAGCATCCCCTTGGGGAACATCCCTCAAGAACATTATTTGTTCGTAATATCAACAGTAATGTTGAGGATTCCGAATTGAGAATTCTGTTTGAGGTATTTCTAGTTACTGACCACTCCATCTATGTCTTATCCCAATGATCCTTGTAGCCTCGCTATTGGTTTTTAGGGCACAGTTTCATTTCAGTCTTGCTTTTTTTCTCTTTCTTCCACTATAACTAGGCATTTTTATCATGAATATCACTAAATTAAATTCAAAAGACAAAAATATGACTTGTTATAAAAATTTCCAAAAAAGTGACATATTGAGTGACTAGTTCTCAGTGACTCATCATTTACCAGTGACCCGTCACTTTGAAATACTACATCCGTCCCCAAAACAACTTCTCACTTTGATTTACACACATATTAAGGAAATAAATTTACCAGGGGATAAATTTTACTGTTTCGACACTGTTTCAACACTGTTTTGATGTAGATAATTTGCCAAATAAGTGGAAAGTTAATTTCGGGACTGCCCGAAAAGGAAAGTGGGAAGTTAATTTCGGGACAAAGAGAGTACAATATAGTGACTCTTATCCAATTACTCATACATAGTGACTAGTCATATTTTTGTCCAAAAACATAACTAGTCAAATTTTTATCCGGTAAAACTCTATTAGTAATATACATGTCATTTTTTTCCTATAACTAGCAGAGGTAGAAAGTTGGAGGAAAATAGTGTGCACATTTGGAAGGAAATGAAGTGTAGGAAAATTTAAATGAAATCGTTCCAACTCAACTAATCAGTTTTAGTCTTTAAATACATATTTGTTCAAACTCATTTAATTTATATTTTTCTATTACATAAAGACAAATAAATGTAAAAATATTTTAAAAAGTAAACGTTAACCAAATACGGAGTATGATTTTCATTATCACCCCCAACAATTTTCCGAGTGCTTAAAATAACTTTACATAACATAGCTTAACAGATTTTCAAGTTCATTTCTCCATTCAGATGCTGTTGGCATTGATGGCTTGAGCAGTAGTATGTAGTTGTGTTTTTTAAATGAAGTGTTGGTATACTACAATTTTCAAGATTAATGATTTCATTAAGGAGACCTTTACTCTCAGATTAACTGCGTCTTTTCTCCTTTTCCTCTTATGGGTACACGCAGTCAAATGAATGCTTCAATAAAAATGTCTAGGGAGCTCGTCAACAGTGCAACATGTGCATTACTTTCATACCTGTCATTGGGGATATCATTATTTACTGATTATGTTTTTTAAGGATACTTTTGTGTTGAGATTTATAGTTTAACTATCATTAGTTAAGCTAACACAATAAATTCATGCAAAAAAAGATAATGCCAAAAGTTTACATCAAATACCCTTCCTGTCACAACTCACAACCTTCTTACAAAGAAAAAATGTGATGAAATGACAAAATCACCATCATGGCATCATCATAAGTGTGTCTTTGCATAGTTATACCAATTGCCAAATCCTGACCAACTTTTACTTTTTTCTGCATTGCTCGTTCGTGATTCTTAGCAATATGGTGATATCAGAACTATGTACACTGCTTGTAAGCATAGGGGTTTCGTGATGATATCTTATTATGATATCCGTGCTGCTCGAACAGCAATGCGGGCTTTGCAGAATAAGCCCCTCCGGAGAAGAAAACTGGATATTCATTTCTCGATTCCAAAGGTATGCAACCTCTTTGCTGCTAAGTGTCTTGTGTCCGTTTGGAACTCATAAAATACTGGTGAAAGAAAATGAGAAGGAAAGTAGGGTGAAAATTAGAAGGATACAAAATTTCAGGGAATATAAAAGATAGATTCAAATTCAAATAATTTATTTTAGAAATTTGTTCTATTATATAACATAAAACAAATTAAATAACATAAAACAAATTAAATATATGTAGTTTAAAAAACATGTATCGAATTTCATTAGGTTTGCATTTTCCAAGTTAAACACTAAGATAAGAAGCTAGCTTTTCTTTATATTTTTTCCTTTTTCTAGTATTTTCCATGATCCAAACAAACACATGTAATAAAGGTTATGCACATAGGATAATATTTTCTCCTTCATCTTCTCTCTCTCTATATTTCCAGGATAACCCTTCAGAGAAAGATATTAATCAAGGAACCCTAGTAGTTTTCAATTTGGATCCATCAGTTTCTAATGATGACCTCCATCAAATCTTTGGGTCCTATGGTGAGATCAAAGAGGTAACAAAGTTCCATATGCTTCCATTCCTCTGTTTTATGCTTTATCAAGTTCATGATCCTATCCATTGTGCTTTAAAACAGATAAGGGAAACTCCACACAAGAGGCGCCACAAGTTCATTGAGTATTATGATATTAGGGCTGCTGAAGCAGCTCTCAGATCCTTAAATAGGAGTGACATAGCTGGAAAGAGGATAAAACTCGAACCTAGCCGCCCCGGGGGAGGACGTCGAAAGTGTGTATAGTACTATTTAATTAATTAACAAAGGCATCTATATAAGATTACTTAATAGCTATTTCAAATGGTAATGTGAACTTACACTTCTTTACTATTCACTTACCTTACTAAAGTTTTGGGTACCAGTAACTTGTAAATTCTTCAACCTGCAATTATGAGTATGAAAATGCAGGTGCAAGAAAAGGTGGGAAATATAGTATACTAGATCATAATTAGGTGAATTTATAGAAGCTATTGTTTATTATTTTCTAATAAATAAGACAAGGGGCTACACTGACTTTGTAAGTGTTTGGATGATGATTTGGAACAACTTTTAAGTAATATATGTATAACAACAACATCCAAGCCTTAGTCCCGAAAGTGTTTGGGGTCGACTAATATGAATCGACATATGAAATTAGAGCTAAAAAAATAAGGGAGTGTTTGGATTTGATTCTGCTTCTGCTTCTTTTTTAAAATTAGAATTAGAATCAGAATCAATTTTTTAAAAGTTGGTCTCCCCCAACTTCTGGAAAATTGCTTCTAGGAGCAATTTGGAGCACCCAGAAGTACTTATGCAATTTCACCCAAACACTCCAATATTTGCTTCTGTCCCTTAAAGAAGCAGAAGCAGTTTTAAGAAGTAGATCCAAGCACCTCCTAAGATCACTCATCCACATATTTATTCTTCCTCCACTTCGCTCTCTCCAAGTCATACTCTCATCCAACCCAAGAAGTACCTATCATTCGTGATCACTCTAATCCACGTGTGTTTGGGTCTCCATCTCTTCTCTGCCTCTTATCTCCACTTCTCAACTCGTCTAATACTCTAATTGGTACATCACTTGGTCTTCTACGCATATGGTTAGACCATTGCAATCGAGACTCTGAATTATGGAGCTCAAATAATGGAACATATCACTAATCGGTATCTCCTTACCATCTAAGGTAATCCCACTATTACCATTGCTTCTAGCTCTACTAAACTTGCATCCTGTATACTCAGTCTTGCTTCGGCTCAGCTTGAACACATGATTTTGTCTCATCAATTAACACAATATCGTCGGTAAACATCATGCACCATGGTATATCTTCTTGAATTGACTTCATTAGTTCATCCATGAGTATAGCAAATAAGAAAGGACTCATAGCTGATCCTTGGTGAGTTGGTACAATGTGATAGTAATTTTTTGTAATATTCCCCTTTAGAGAGATGTCTCTGCTAAGGGACTAGATTTATAAGAGAGATCCGTTTACTCGTATATTAAAAAATCTCATGTTGCATCACATTTGAGTCATCTTTCGCAGGGTTTTTAGTTTAAACCCAATACTTGGAAACACAGGAGAGGAAAGATCTATTTTACTATGGGCCACAACAGATGCCCATTTTATTTTTTGTTTATTTCTTGATTGGATAGACTGGTTATGCCTTATTAAGTTCCAGTCAATCATTACTGATATTTGTGTCATTCTGCTATTTCGAATCCAGTTTTATGTTTCAAATGAATCAAGATCTCGAACAAGAAGAATCTAGGAGTTTACCTCCACGGTTTGGTTCTTCATTTGGTACTTCACCAACAGGTAAACTTTTATATTTTCATTTTAATGCTCTCACCGCCCCAAAAGACAAACTGATTTTTTTTGTCGAAGAAAGGGAGTCTTGTTTAAGACAGCTTTCATTTTTAAGCTAAATTTCTATGTGGGCACGCGGCTAGTGATTTTAGTCAATTACTATCTCGGAAATAATCGTTTGTGGAACTGGGGTATAAGTGATCAATGACCATTCATTCCTCGATAGCTTGTAAAAGCTTGTATTTTGATTGGTTGTCAAAAAAAGTTGTACCGTACTGAAACAAGTCTCTTTTTTCTTGGGATTGGGGGAAATTATATGGTTCGTCTGGATGTAGTTTTACATCATGGTACTTTTGTGATTTTCTTAAACATGTGCTCATTTCGTAACCACAGAATGCTCATTCTATTAAAACTATACGGAGTAATACAGAGTAATATTTTTTGCTCATTTTTCATTCAATACCATACTCATTTGAATATAAAAGATGCTCATTTTGGATTTGAAAAAAGCTCATTTTGTATTAGAGCAATGTTCATTTCACCATTTGGATGTATCATGTGCATGGTACATCACCAATTGGGTGGATGGAGGGAATGTTTTTTTATCAAGCCGGACAATTACTTACATGTCCCTGCTTCAGCTCTCTCACCTGTATGATGCTTCACTATATGTTGTGACAGGCAATTGGCAACACTTCGACAGTCCCGGGGATCAAGCTCATATGCAGAGCCCTAGCAATTCCAATGGTTTTAGATCCTTCAATGCAACATGTGGAAATATCTTACCTGGTTTAGCTTCTATCTTGTCTCCTCAAGCTTTAAACCCTGTTAGGGTTGCACCTACAGGTAAGTTTGAAAGAACGGGTTCTTCCATCCAACAACCACATTCTTTTCCAGAGCCAATACCAAGCTGGTATTCCGGTCCGATTTCATCATATGGTGCTTCTAGTTCGAACGGTTCAGGTATCGAAACACTATCCGGGACACAATTTCTTTGGGGAAGTCCAAAGGTGTATCCTGAACAAAGTAAAAGCAACTCTTCTTCTGTGTGGCATCCTTTCACATCTAATAATGACAACATGTTTTCTTTCTCTAATCAACATGGATCCTTCCTTGGTTCTTCAACCCAACACCGGCCAGACCTTCAAAATGTGGGGTCTGCTCCACCGGGTCTTCCTTCCAAGAGGCACTTAGGCTTTTTTCCGGCATCGTCACCGGAAACCTCGTTCTTGGGTCCAGCTTTCCGAGGCTCAGCCACTGGACCCCACGAGAGAAGTTATATGATGAATGGGTCCCCTGGATTTAACATGTTAACTTCTCAAAAGTTGAGCCCTGTTTACTTGGGAATTGGTCACACCTCAGGACCCACAGCTGCGTTTTTTGACTGTTCGGTTGAGCATGGGCGCCTCAGGCGGGTCGACATTAATGGCAGCTGTACTGATAACATAAGGTTCCAGCTTGACTTGGACAAGATTAGAAGTGGGGGTGATGGTCGGACAACTTTAATGATAAAAAACATTCCAAACAAGTAATGACAAATATCTGTATTTCCCTCCTTTTTTATTTACTTATGGGAAATATACCATCCAGAAATAATATAGGGGTAAAATAATGATTGGAAACCTTTCATGATCTATAATCACCTTCCTCTAGGTACACCTCCAAGATGCTGCTGGCCACTATTGATGAATATCAAAGGGGCACCTATGACTTTCTTTATTTGCCCATTGATTTTAAGGTAATGTCTTAATATAGGTAGTTGTAAAGATGAGATTTATGATGTTTTTCTATGGTCTGAGCAGAGTTTGGTATGTGTTATCTATTCTTGCTTGTCATGCAGAATAAGTGCAACGTGGGTTATGCATTCATTAATATGTTGTCTCCGGCGCTCATCATACCATTTTATGAGGTTTATTTCCTTGACTTTATGGTGTTTTATATAATTTCTGAATAACATTTTTCCCACCAGTGGATCTCCACCCCTTTCCGTAATAAAACATGATCGACTGTATTTCATCTTCTGCCCCCAATTTATTTTTATTATTATGCTATCAAGTTCTATGGGCTTCTTTATTTCCCGTTGACAATCGAGTGACCCGAATCTTATATTTTCAATTATTTAATGGGAAGGGGTTTTAATTTTGCGCAGGCTTTTAATGGGAAAAAATGGGAGAAGTTTAATAGTGAGAAAGTGGCTTCTTTGGCATATGCTCGGATCCAGGGAAAGAGTGCCCTTGTTGCACACTTTCAGAACTCAAGCTTAATGAATGAAGACAAGCGCTGTAGGCCAATAGTATTCCATTCAGAATGTTCAGAATCCAGTGGCCAGGCAAGATTGCTATCTACACCAATTGGATTTAAGTGCAAAGAAAAACATAATAAAATACTCCGTATGTAACAACATCATCTAAACCTTAGTCCCAAAAGAGTTTGGGGTTGGCTAACATGAATCAACATATGAAATTAGAGCTTAAAAAATAAAAAGAGAAAAAAATAAGATCATCATCATCACCATTACCCCAGTGCCGCAAAGACTCTCACCTACGATGGGGTAAGAGGGGTCAAATGTACGTAGTCTTACCCCTGCACTAAACCACAAAAGGACTGTTTCCGGATGACCCATAGTGAAATCGCGCCGGAAATTGCACGGACTGACTACTACTTCATAACAAAGAAGCACATACATCTTAGTGAACGATTTTGCTTTATTCCATCATATTCCCAAGCCAAAAAATAGTGAGTCTTTAGATCCATTGAAAAAATGAAAAAAATACTCTGTAAGATAAAGATAAAGTAAGGATAAAGATAAGATAAAAAGAATAAAAACGATAAAATAAAAAAGATAAAAAGATAAAGAACATAAGAAAGATGAAATAAGAACAACCCCTCCACAATAAAATACTTCGTATGTAACAACAAACAAGTAAATTTTATATTATATGTATTAGTCTTTTAAGCTAATTTCCATCATTTCCAACGGAGTCAAAGACTCATTGTTTTTCTGGCTTGGGAATATGATGGAATAAAGCAAAATAACCCACTAAATTGTCGTTTTTTTTGTTATGAAGCAGCAGTCACTCCATGCAATTTTTGACGCGATTTTTATAATAGGTCATCTGAAAACAGTCTCTTTGTGCTTTAGTACAGGGGTAAGAATGTGTACACCCAACCCTTCCCTACACCATAGGTGGGAGCCTTTGAAGCACTGTGGTAATGGTGTTGTCGTTGTAGTCTTTTAAGCTAAACAATACCTAATGAATTATGTTTTTTGAATAAAGATACACAAATTATTTGAAGAAAGTAATACTGCAATTATACTAAAACATGAATAATTAAGAAAAACACCTTGGGAGACCTCTGCAGACACCATGGGCTAAAATGGAGGAAGAGACAAAAAATACTGTCCACAAGTATTGTTTTAAAGGATAAGGAACTTTATAAGGATTCGTCTATTTAGCTTGCTAAAAAGCGTCCAATGTGGTTAATTGTTGTGCAGATTGCCGAGGAACATCTCTCTTCCAGTAGTTTGAATATTAAAGATCGTCAAACAATTGTGTCAGGGTTATCAGAATCTTCCGGTAGCCCGGCTGGCGATTCACTTGAAAAATCGGAGCGAATAGCAGCCTGATAGCATTTTTGCTCTTGGTCAGGCATAGTTTTTTTTTTGAATATTCTTGGTCAGGCATAGTATATTGTCTTTTTGCAAAGCTTAATTACCGGTTCATGTTAGCAGTTTTTGTATCATAGTAGGATGTGGGTTGACCGAAGGCGCTTCCCGAGGGAGGGATAAGGAATGCGACATCCTTGGGTTCCTCCAAACCGGTGATGAAACTATGCTAACTTTTTTGAGATTTTTGTTAAGTAAGATTAGTTAGTTGTATCTCAGCTAGTCAGCTGTGTTGTTAGGAGAATGAATGAAGGGCAGAAGGGTACAGCTTTTTTGGCTTTTTGCTTGGAGAGGGGGGCGTTCTCCTTCAAACATTGGTATATCCGTATATGCATGGTTAATTGTGTATTTTGGCACAAAAGTGGAGTGTGGCAGTGTTAATTTGTTGATGTATTTTAAAAGGAGAATCTGTCAAATAAGTGCTCGTACTTATTGAGTTCTCGTACTTACAAGTGAATCAATTAAGTTCACCGAGTGTTAAAAACACTCAAACGAGCCATTTAGAGCATCCTTAATGCTCCAGTGTTAACGCCCTAAAAATTTTGACACATGTCCATTATTAAATGGTATAGTTATCCACCTCATATGGGAATGGTATAGGTGGACATTCAAACTCAAAAATCATGTCCAGTGCATTATGTCAATAGCGTATGTAACCACCACCGTATAATCCATACATATTTCGAATCAATATTTAAAAATATTAGGGCCTGTTTACTAACAAAAATATTTTCCAGTTTTCTAGAAAACTGGAAAACTGGAAAACAGAAACCAGGAAACGTGTTTACCAAAGAAATTCCTGGAAAACTGGAGAAAGGAAAAAAGAAAAACGTGTTTACCAAATCGTTTTCCAAAACGGAAAAAATGAGACATGTCTCTCTTTTTCTTAATGATTTGGAGAAGTGACTTTTACTAGTTTTCCAAATTTGGAAAACGCAGATGCTACAATGCCGCTGCAATGAATTTGCATACTTACACCTAGTGGTGGGTCCGGTCCCGCTCCGATGTCGATTCCATTCCGATACCTCCATCCTCGTACCTTACCCCTTACCCCTACCCTACCCTACCTTACCCACCCAACCCAATCCCGCATACCCATTTTTCCCTATAATGACCCTACCTCACCCCGGCCCCACCCCCTACCACCTCGACCCACCCTACCCTACCCCCACCCGTATATTACCCCTTACCCCTTACCACATGCCCCTACCTCAGCCCCACCCCACCACCATCCCACCCCCACCCTTCCGCCATCCTACCACCATCCTACCCCCCACCCTACCCTTCCCCTACCTCGGCCCCACCCCGATCCACCCTACCCTACCGCCACCCCCCTACCACCTCGACCCCACCCTACCCTACCCCCACCCGTATGTTACCCCTTACCACATGCCCCTACCTCGGCCCCACCGCACCACCATCCTACCCCCACCCTCGTACCGCCATCCTACCCCCACCCTTCCGCCATCCGACCACCATCCTACCCCCTACCCTACCCTTCCCCTGCCTCGGCCCCACCCAGATCCCGGGCCCACCCTATCACCATCCTATCCCACTACCCCTACCTTACCCCAACCCTACCCACTACCCCCACCCTTACCGCCATCCTACCCCCACCCCCCACCCCTTCCCTACCTCAGCCCCACCCTGGTCCCGACCCCACCCTACCGTCATCCTATCCCAACTCCATGCCCTACCTCTACCTTACCCCAAACCCTACCCACTACCCCACCCTTACCCCTAACCACAACCCTAACCCACCAACTACCCCCACCCAACCCCTACCCTAGACCTTACCACCCCACCCTGACCTTACCCCACCCCCACCCATAACTTCCCTACCCCGACCCCTACGAGTAGGTATGGGTGGGTATGAAGGGTTGTGGGGGAGTATGGGTAGAGTGTAAGATCGTGGTAAGGGTAGGGGTCAAGGGTGTGGAATTGGAGAACTGGGTGAAAAAATTGATGAACATGTTTTCAGATTTGAAAATGGAAAACTAAAAAATAGAAACAGAAAATTGGAGATAGAAAAACTGAAAAATAAAAACAGAAATTTGGAGAACGAAAAACAGAATTAGAAAACAGGAAAATATCTCTGTTAGTAAACAGGGCCTTACTCTTCCACTCCAAAAGCATAAATATCCGCCGACTACTTTATCAATTATTTGACCGATCAACAGCAACAGCTTTCTACATGGATTGTATGGAACGGTATCTGGGAATTCGATTATATAGATAGAGGTTATGGTCCTATATCACCATGTATTCGATTATAAGTGTTATTTTTAAGGTCTAATAAATTCTTTCAATAAAATTATTTAATTAATTCCTACAGAAGCTTTACTCCAGGGGCAAGGTGAGGTGGGAGAGATAATTTTTCCGAGTGGTTGCTACTTGCAAATATGTGCCGGAAGGGAATTTTTGACGGGTTGAGATTTTTATCGGTGGGAGTTCCGGTATATTTTCTACAATTTCTGCTTTACATATGCCGAGTCACCATGTGAAAGGTGTTGTTAACCGAAGACAGCTATGTAAACAATGCTTAATTAATTTTTTAACACATCAGAATTACGTGAGGGTAAATGTATAGTGCTGGATACCAAAACTGTATGAAACTGTTAAATTCTTATGATGTAGCATTTTTTTTTTTAATCTCAACAGAGATCCATTGAAGATGCTCTTAGCCGGATAGGATCCGGTTAACAAGAAATCATACACACCGCCACACCGGGGTGCACTGGTCCCCCCCTCATTTTCTTTTCTTTCCCCCCTTTTCGTCTCTTTTTTTCTCCCCCTGATTCTTCTTCCTTGTTCTTTTCCTGCGCACCATTATGCATTTTTTCTTTTCTTTTTTTAATTCTCTTATTCTTTCTTATTCTAATTCTTTTCACAAAAGGGCATCAACCTCTGTCGCCCAACTATTCTTCACCTGCAGTCGGCCAGCCGTCGTCTTTAAAGCCACAACTTGTCTAACCGCTAGTTGCTGTGAACTTTGCCAAGCACCGTCAATGAGATGGGTATGAATATGACATTAAAATGTAACTAATATGATAATGTGATTAGTATGAATATGTGGCTATTGTTAAAATGTAACTAATATGATAATGTGGACAGTATTAAAATGTGACTAATATTAAAATGTAACTAATATGATGTGGCTAATATTAAAATGTAACTAATATTAATATGATAATGTAACTAATAGGATAGTATACTTAATATAATGTCAATACATAATCATATATAATAATATAATAATGTATAGCTATACTATAATAGGATGGTGAAGTTATATTTAATACTATAATATATATACTTAATATTATATAATTATATATAATTAGGTATAATATATTTAAATATAAGTAGATATTATATATTTCTAACTTTTAATGCTTGTAGAGTTATAGCTACGATATTATATATTCTAATATTGTATATGAATGTAAACATAGGTATTAGATATAAAAATATATAATTGTGAGTGAAGATATAATTGAGAGGAGTGATTTAGAATTTTAGAGGTGAAGAAAATAGAAGAATAGAAGTGTAGGAAATTTTTGAAAATTGAGGTATTTATAGTTTTTAACCCCACCCCCAATGGTTATATAGCCGTTTATAGCCGTTCATACGGCTATAAGCCCCCCCCCCCCAAAGAGAGAGAGAGAGAGAGAGAGAGAGAGAGAGAGAGAGAGTTTGGATCGGAATCATGACTGCTCAGTCCGGTCTCTAAAATCCAAACCCGAGACCTGGACAACCTTGTACCCGGTTGGGTATCCGGTCCTACACCAAACCGGGTTTGCAGATCTAGTGCGCTCTGGTCCCGCATAGTACCGGCTCGGTTATTTCAAAAAACATGTCCCGTCCCAAAGTACGGTTCTTTTAAAAATCAAGAACCGGTACCGTACCGCATATATATGGAACATGTCCCGTTCCGTACCAATTTTTAGCATGGTTCGGTACGGTTCGGTTCTTTGGCGTTATTTGGTTCGTAAATAATTAACCCCCATGAAATACAATTAACCCTATTTACATAGCATTGTTTATATCATTTAGTATTGTTTTTTTACTTAAAGCTAACTTTTAGTGCTGTCAAGTCTTAATAATTGGATTATGCCCAAAGAATATGCAAGATTGCATATTTGTAATATATGGACATACAATCCCTGACATTTATACTCGGTAATATGTTATATATAATGTACGTAGTATTATTATATTATAACACTAGTTTTCGGGACATATGGTCACTAACATTTATACTCGGTAATATATTATGTATAATATATTATTATAATCTAACATTAGTTTTCGGGACAATTCAGGACGGTACGGTACGGTTCGGGACAATACGGTTCTGGGACGGTTCCGGAACGGTTCTCACTAAGAACCGGTACCGTACCATATTATTAAAAAAGATCGGTACGGTACGGTACGGTACGGTACGGTTTTACATTTTTCTGGTTCTATCAGTCCTGGAACGGTTCAGGACGGTTCTTCGGTACGGAACGGGAATTCATTCCCTGATCCGTGCTCAGCCCTAATTAGTAGAATGGTTCTAGCTTCCTAAAGATCGGTGGAGAACTGGAGACTAAAAGAGTTTTGTTGATACTTACGAAGTATTACTATCGGTTTTAATTATTAATGGATTCACTATTTTACTTGGAGTAAAATATAAAGTACTCCGTACTAAGTTACGTAGCTTATTAGTACTTAGTAGAAATCTTAGAGACTCTTTAATCATCCGGATAAAATCAATTGAAGTTTTTGGTTCAAATTAGAATTATAAAAAAATGAATAAATTTATTTTATTTAATTTGATTAATTATCTTAGAGATTAAGTAAGTTTAATTTTACCTTACTGATTATTATTATTTTTGCATGCCATTACTTTAATTATTTGATTATTGTAATTGTTTATAAATTAGATTTATATTGCATGCTTTAAATTATCTGTTTGAGATAGATCTCGTTAACGTATTATTTGATAATATGTTTTAGCATCATGATTAAATAGAATAATTTAATACCCCGCTAAATGTTCCCCATAAATAAAATTTTAAGTCTTATCTAGGATAACGACATCACCCATCATAATTAAATTAGTAGAAATATTTTTTCGTTGAAGAATATTTCACCCAAGTGTTTATTCAATTCGACAAAATATAGAACTAATTTATAGATACATATGTTTGTGATCGTGTTATGGTTTTGACTTACTTAAATTAGCTCGAGTCGCCCAAGCATAAGTGTTAATTTAGGGATGTCGATCAATTAAAAATTGATCAACCAAGAATTGCTTGGAGGCAATTGGTTTAGGGACCTACCCATTATATTATTGCAGTGATCAGCCCAAGTTGGGACTGTAATAGTAT